TTCAGATATATCCCGAGTGCACTTTGGCCAATCCTAGTCATCATACCGCCTGTGGTACCTTTCAAACAGTCGGTTCGAAGTCGGGCACCGTTACGTGGCCAGTTCATCGAGCCGGCCGTGGTAAATACTCGCGCCACGATGCACCTTTTGCGTGGGACGAGAGTGGAAAGCCATGTTATCTATCTCCTACTGTAAAAGCACTCGTTGCCACAGGTGGCACCGTGGCAGCTCATATCACATGCAGTGAAGAAAGGAGGGAAAAACTATTACGTCGTGTTGGAACCGTTTGGGAAGTCGTGAAGAATCGCGTCGTGACGTTAGGTGATCCCGCAGGTGGCCAACCGCTTGCTAAGGTAATTCACGAAAGTTCGAAGTCATCGCTCCAAAACTTGGAGGCATCTACATCATATTCCTTCAATCAACCCGCTGGGCTACCTTATAAATCTACTCGCCCGATAACCCAATATTTCGCCGGACAGTGGGCGACTACCACGAATTCACTTGTCGATGGTTCGTTGAGGGACGTAAACTTGTCTACTATTTTGAGCAATGTCGCACAAACTGTTCCCTCGAAGGAGTCACTTGGTATTCAGAAGCATGCAGATCGTGAGGATTCGGGAATGGGCCTGGAAGAACAACCCTCGGTAATTGAGGAAGTTCGATCGGTCGTTAATAGTGTCCCGGTGCAAACTTCAGGTACAAAAGAAATCCCACCCGCCACGGAAAATCACAACTCTCCAGTGCCCGGAGCATGCACCGGGACTACCCGCCAATCAAAACCGGTGGAGATCGTGGAAGGGTTGGATGTGATAGCAGATGTCCACGATGCACAGGTCTCTAATTATTTGGGTCTCTGTGCACTGAAATTGGAAAGAGAGCATGGGCAGAAGAAGAAGCAGAAAAAGGAGATGGCTGTTACCCCAGCTGTGGAATTTTTTGAATCCGCTGCTGAACGAGACTCGGCATCAGCTGCCTATAATGCTGGTCTTTGCCATGAATATGCAATTGGAGGAGTTAAACGCGTGGATTCAGTGCGCGCGGTGGTGCTGTACCGTCAAGCCGCCGTCGCGGGCCACAAGGCCGCGCAATACAACTTGGGAATCCTTCTGTTGCGCAGGG